ATTTAGAAAGTCCTAGTTTAGCTGTGTGTGCAGAAAGACGAGGAGATGGAGTTTTCCTAGATCAGTGGTTCTCAAACCTGACAATCATCAGAATACCCCCAGAGGGCTTGTTAAAACATACTGCTGAGCCCCACCCCACAGTTTCTGATTCAGTTGCTCTGGGGCAGGCCCAGGAATTTTCTAACAAGTTCTCAGGTGATGCTGAAGTTGCTGGGCTAGGGACACAACTTGGGAATCACAGCCTTAGGCATACCTCTGAGCAGCCTCTAGGATTTAGGGAGATTTCTTTGGCTTTGAGAACCTTTGAGAAGAAACTGGTTCACCTTAGGGAGTATGACTGAGAGGAGCAAATGCAAGCTCTGGAATCTGAGGACCAAATGTTAGTCCCAGATTTGACACATCCTTGGAAGTCCCTTGACCTTTGACCTTTGTTTTCTTCATCTGAAAATGGAGATAATAATAATAACCACCCCATAACATCGATAATGAGGATCAAAAAAGGTACTTTGCTTTAACCGGTTTGGCTCGGTGGGTAGAGCGTCGGCCTGCGGACTGAAAGGTCCCAGGTTCGATTCCGGCCAAGGGCATGTACCTTGGTTGCGGGCACATCCCCAGTGGGGGGTGTGCAGGAGGCAGCTGATCGATGTTCCTCTCTCATTGATGTTTCTAACTCTCTATCCCTCTCCCTTCCGCTCTGTGAAAAATCAATAAAATATATATTTTTAATAAAAGATACTTTATGATCTTTGAAATGAAATACAAATGTTAGTTGCCACTGATGTCAGTTGAGAACAAAGGGCAGCAGAAGCTTCTTTAAAAACATCTTCCTGGTCAGAGGCTTTGGGAAATGCTTTCCTGTTGCTCTGTTAGTGGTGGGTTCTCTCCTGAGGTGTTTTGCTTTTCTCTACTTTATTTCTTGTCATTTGGGGAAAGCACCATACTGCTGAAAATGCTTTTTGGAAAAAACAAAGATATTATTTGCTATTTTCAAGTGCTGTTGCTGAGTCTAATTTTTTTTTCTTGGTGTATCTGAGCATTAGGTGGCAGTAATTCAGTCATTATGGTCAGATCTGCTCCTGGCTTGGTAATATTAGCACTCTGCAGCTGTGTGCTCCCCGAGTTCTGTCAGTGTATTTATCACACACTGGAGCAGCTCATCAGCACCATTGTCTTACTGTGCGAGCTTCCTGCATTCCATCTCCTGGCTTTTCCTCACACACTGTTCTTTCTTCATACCTACAGATTTCTGCTTAAGTGCCTTTGTCAGAGTATTTTGGGGTCTCCGTGATTTGGTCTAGAATTTTTTTCTGAATTACAGGCATTCATGCATCACGGTGTAGCATGGGGAAAAGCACACAGGCTTAGAGTTAGACACACCCAAGTCTGGTCAAGCCTCCATCGTTTATTACACCAGTTCTATTTATGTTGGGTTCCACCCTAGAGATTTTTTTTTTTTAAATATATTTTATTGATTTTTTACAGAGAGGAAGGGAGAGAGCTAGAGAGTTAGAAACATTGATGAGAGAGAAACATCGATCAGCTGCTTCCTGCACATCTCCCACTGGGGATATGCCCGCAACCCAGGTACATGCCCTTGACCAGAATCGAACCTGGGACCTTTCAGTCTGCAGGCCGACGCTCTATCCACTGAGCCAAACCGGCTTCGGCGCACCCTAGAGATTTTGATGTAATTGGTGTGGAGGGGCCTGAACATCTGGACCTTTGAAACTCCCCAGGTGATTTTACTAAGTTGGAGACCCACTGACTATATAATAATGAGGAGTTACTTAAATGGTTCTAGGCCTCAAGTTTCCTTGTATGTAAAATGGGTACAATAATATCTCTTCTATAGCAATTGCTGTGGGGATTCTAGAAAATGCCATATGATTTCAAGGGAGCTGGAAAGGCCCACACTTCTAAATCTTCAGTATGCTTCTACCACCATGTCTTTTCTACTGCCATCAGGCCCCTCCTAACAGTGTCCCTAGTTAATCTGGCTTATCACTGCTCCCTTGAGGGAATATTTTTTGAATTCACATAGGATATCTGCTGGCCAGGGACCTTCTAATCTGTACCTATGGATCCAGCATAGCTGTCACACCCAACAAGCAGTATTCTAAGATTGAAGAACATACAGACTTTGTGTTAGGGTCAGGCTCTGCCCCATTGACATTTTCTACCCTGGACCCTGATTGTTGCCTGTGTCTCCCTTACTGCAGCTGGCCTTTTGCCTCCGAGAGTGAAGACCCTGCTCACCATCCCCTCCAAACAAGCTATTCCTACATTATTTAGCTTGTCTACAGTTCATGTTCTTGCTTCACACCCCTGAGCCTTCCAGCCTTTGGGCACAGCCCAGGCCCTGTCCCTCTCATGATGCTTACTCTCATCCCTCAGTTTGAGCTATGAAGTGTCTGGCACATACTTTTGGGTGCCAGTGTCTGCCAAAGCATTTTTTAAAATATATTTTATTGTTTTTTTACAGAGAGGAGGGGAGAGGGATAGAGAGTTAGAAACATTGATGAGAGAGAAACATCGATCAGCTGCCTCCTGCACACCCCCCACTGGGGATATGCCCGCAACTAAGGTACGTGCCCCCGATTGGATTCGAACCTAGGACCCTTCAGTCCGCAGGCCGATGCTCTATCCCCTGAGCCAAACTGGTTAGGGCTGCCAAAACATTCTTGATGTGCTTGCCTCATTTCCCCTGCTCAGCTAAAAGCTTCAAGAGATCAATGACTATATCTTTCTTGCCTTTCCATCTCCCCAGTACCTAGAACTATTAGTACATATCTAGGTGCCCAGAATGTGCTGATTGAGTGAAAGGAGAATCTCATATGTTCTTATTGTGTGTGCCTTCAATTCAGAAACCTGATTATATGAACAAGCTGAAATCTGAAGTCCTGTGTCCCCCAACTAGACTCTAAGTTCTCTGAATGTAGGCCCTGGATTCCTATTTCTTTACATTCCTCATGGCATCTGGAACAATACTTGGGCAGCAGTAAATGCTCAGTGAGTACTTCTTGTCTTGCTCAGGAGTAGGGATGTGAACTGAAAAGATCCAAGGGAATGATCTAAAACTACATATATATTGTAGTAGCCTCAGAGCATGAATAAGGGCTAGACTTTACTGATAGGAACAGGGGCTTCTGAGAAGGAGTGCACATATCCCAATAATAACCACTGAATTCAAGAGAAAATCTGAAAACTTGTATATGCCTATGTTTTTTGAAAAAAATAATTAGGTTTTATATTCTATATAGGTGGCCATAAACTCTGCATTTGATCGGTATGGCACACACAGGGCGTGGGGGTAGTGTCACCCGCAGTAGTTTGTTTTTATTACATATATGGAAAATAATTTCAAACTATTTATATATATATATGTAGGTTTATAAATTGTATTATCTAGTTTATTCCCCTCCCCCAAATGGACAAATGACTTTAAAAATTCTTGCGGAGAAACAGGAATTGAAGCCACTACTAGTAAAGTAAGCACAAGTGAGTGGCAAGAAAATGGCAGAAGCGCCTCTTTTTCTACTCAAGTTTGTCATCTTGGTTAGCCAGATGACAAGCTAAAAACAGGGGTGGTCTAACCAGATATGACAAGGCTATGGTCCAAAATGTTTTGAAATACCCAAGAAGACTATATGAAATAGGGATTTACAGCCACTGTCATTGTATTATCCTAATCCTATATGGATAATGTGTCTGGAAGGATTAACTAATGGTATTTGAAGAACTAATGATTTTTGAAAATATCTTTATTTCACTTTAACTTTCAAAATTTCTATTTCTGCATTTGTCAAAAACATTTGTAATATCTTAGTCCAATAGCTTATCTCTATGTAAATGAAAATAACTACACATATATTGGCTATATATGCTGAAAAAATACTTTATTGCTAGGAGTGCACGTTTACTGGGTTAGAGTGCCAGGCAAATGAGAGCGTTCTTTTTAAAAAATATTTTTTAATATTTCAATTGCAGTTGACATACAATATTATATTAGTTTCAGATATTCAGCATAGTGATTAGACATTTATATAACTTACAAAGCAATCACCCCCGTAAATCTAGTACAAATGTGGGTTGTTCTTGATGGCCCAGTTATCATCATCATGTCACACTGCTCTCACATGACTGTCTGACTCAAGAGCTGTCTCAGGAATGTGTGTTATTAGTCACTGTGATAATGGCACAGCTGGGAGGAGATGGGTCATTAAAAATTCATCATCACTGTTGAGTTAGAAGTTAACTCAGGCCACACATCCTCTGAGGTCAAGGCATCTTTTGCTTATGGAAAAAGGCAACACTTGATAGAGTGTAATGGATTTTTAAGATATGTATTATGAGTATTACATGAGCATTTGGGTTTGTTTATATGTTTGGAAGTGAATAACAACAACAGAAATCTGGAATTTATAATTTTCCAAGTATGTTCTTAATTTATATTAACCTCACAATAACCGTGTAAGGTAGGAGTCATCCCCATTGTATGACAAAGGATGATAACATCAGCAAGGTTAAGTGACTTGCCCAAGCTCACATATCTAGTAAGCATAGAACCAGGGTGCAAATCTAGATAATTGGTATTAGCCAATATATTGCTGTTTGTTCCAAAGATAAGAATTCATCTGCATTTTTATCAAGTCGCCTAATAATTCAAAGGTGTGAGTGTGGACAATTTCTAGACATGAAACACTGGGCAACAGTGGACTCCATGCCCTGAGAGGGAAAGCAAAATGTTCACAAATGAGGCCTGGAGATGGAATATTCATTTCATCTATCTGTAGTAGTTGGTGAAAAGCAAGCCAATTTTGGTTAAGTGTATTGACATTGTATCATCTTATGTCATTTTTCAAGTGAAAGTTCTGCAGCTTTTTTTTTTTAATAAGCAAGAGATTCCTCCAAGGGGCTTTGCCAACAGTTTTCCCTAAGGTGTTTTGCAGAGCATCAGATAGCAACCTAAATATAATAAATGTGCATCTCTCTGTTAACAGGACCATTGCCAACTATTTGGTGTGGAGGATGGTTTATTCCAGAATTCCAAACCTTAGCAGGCGCTTTCAGTATAGGTGGCTGGAATTCTCAAGGGTAAGTTTTAAAAAGATTGCAATGTTACATCACTTGATAACTTTACATGCAGGAATAGTTTATATATTAGCTAATCCAATAAAAATCATCTTCAGGAATTGGACAGAGGGAGTTTTGCAGGCCAAGCTCTACTTTTTTTGTTTCTTTATTTTTATTGAGGTACATAGAGAGTTAGAGTAAGGTGCAGTTATGGCCCTTTGCTATGACCTCAATATATATAGTTGATGAGGCTATGTAAAGATATTTAGGGCAATACTTGGGACATCACATTGTTTTCACACTCCATCTTTCGTCAATTTATTCCCATTTTTCCCATGTTTTTTTTTCTTTTAACTACTTTGATTGATTTTTTGAGAGGGAGGAAAGGAGAAGGAGAAAGAAAAACATCGATGTGAGAGTGAAACGTTGATCGATTGCCTCCTGCACATTCCCCACCAGGAACCTAGCCTGCAACCCAGGCATGTACCCTGACTGGGAATGGAACTGGCAGACTTGGTGCAAGGGATTATGCCCAACCAACTGACCCATACCGGCCAAGGGCCCCCAGTGTTTTTAACTGGTTCTCTCTAATTATAGTTTTAATATTTCTTAGTGATGTATTTGTAACTATTTTTCATTTTAGTATTCTGAATATTTAAAATGTGCATGGCATATGTATTAGATAGTAAAGTTTCATCCTTAATTTAGACATAGAGTTTCATCTTTAATTTCATCTTGATCTTCAATCTTAGAATCTCTCTTAACTCTGCTAGGCCAAAGAAGCCTAAATCTAGACTCCTGGGAGACCTCATTCAACTGTCTGAAACACTTTTCTTCTCTGCCACTCTTATTCTCATTGGTGTTAACGCTTGTCTTTGTTTTAGAGGTTCTTTTTTTAATCCTCACCCTAGGATATTTTTCTGTTGATTTTTAGGAAGCGTAAGAGAGAGGGAAAAACAGAGAGAAACATCAATGTGAGAGAAACACATTGATCAGTTGCCTCCTGCAGGTACCCTGACCAGGACCTGGCCCGGTGGGGGGAGGGGGCGCCTGCAACCAAGGTACGTGCCCTTGACCGGAATCAAACCTGGGACCCTTCAGTCTGTAGGCCGCAGCTCTATCCATTGAGCAAAACTGGCTAGGGATGTTTTGGAGGCTTTTGTCTGAATAATTCTCCCACCACTAGCGGACTTAAGAATTTTGTGGCTTTTTAAAAAAAGTAACATTTTAAGCCCTAGCTGGTTTGGCTCAGTGGATAGAGTGTCGGCCTGTGGACTGGGGGGTCCCAGGTTCGATTCCGGTCAAGGGAACATGTCCGAGTTGCGGGCTTGATCCCCAGTGGGGGGCTTGCAGGAGGCAGCCGATCAATGATTCTCGTTCATCGTTGATGTTTCTATCTCTCTCTCCGTCTCCCTCTCTGAGATCAATACAAATATATTTTTAAAAAGTAACATTTTAAGAATTTAGTGACTTTAAAAAATATTTTTCTCTGTATTTGAATGATGAATTTTATAAGCTGTGGTTTCATTTAACAAATGTTTTAGTTATTACAGAAACTGGTAAATACAGAAATTCTTAGTGGGTCATTACTCTTGAGGAGTAACACAGTTATTTTGAATATATTTTGGCCTTTCAAAGTCACTAGACTATTGAGCTTTATATAGAACAGCATAAAACAACTATATATATTGAGGTCGTATCAAAGGATTAAACTACAAAACTAGTAGATTTCATATATATATGTATATATATTTAACTCCTATGGATCACATAAAAGATGGTACCCAGCTGTTCTTTACCCCCACTGTGAAGAGCATCAGAGAGAGAGGTGTAAGAAGTAGAGTGTGAAAATTTTGAGGTTAGGTATGAGGGGATGTTTCTTGAGTGTAAAGTGCTAAATATAATATTGAATTGCCAAAGAAAGTTGTAGAGTCGTTCTCTCTAGAGCTTTTAAAAATAGATGCATTCCTTACTTCTGAGAGGGGTTGTGTGACCAGAGAGTAGAGGAAGAATAGATGAACTTAAACGTTAATCCCATTTGCTTTGTGCCAACAACCTGGATCTAACATTGTTCAAGGGACGCCTCCAGCCACCATTCTCAGGGCCTCCCTTCCTCACTGCCTGCCTTCACTTTACATTTTGAGTGCTCTGAACTCTCAACCTCCGAGTGCAATTAAATAATATTTATTTCTTTGCTTTCATCCCTAAGAGTAAACCTTTGAGCCTTGCAAATCCTGTTTTGGAACCTCCTTACTTGTTTGTAAATATTTTCTTATAATGATTTAATTGGGACAGATGGGAAAAACATTTACATCTGGATTTTCCTTGGTTACCAGTGTGTTCTTTGCTATGACACAATGTAAATATGCTTCCTGCGCTGTTCATGGTGGGCCATGCTCTCCTGGTCTGCCTTGTGAGTTTCTGCCCAGAACAAGGAAACCCTCGCTGGGCAGAAACTTGGATCCCCTATTGATTCTAGACCTTTCTTGGTGGAGCTTAAGTTCTCAGTGGATATTAAATATTCCCTGGACATTTGGATAGCATCCCGCCACATCCCTATAAACTGCAGAAAAGCTATGCTTCTAGATCCTTTGTTTAATGGGATAAATTGGAAGGGATGGACAGTTACATTATTCCCACTGTCAAAATGTTTTTATTTGGTTTTAATCCTCACTTGAGGATATTTTTTCCATTGATTTTTAGAGAGAGTGGAAGGGAGAGGGAAAGAGAAATATCGATGTGAGAGAAACATTGATTGGCTGCCTCCTGCACACCCCGACCAGGGCCCAGGCCGGGGAGGAGCCTGCAACCAAGGTACATGCCCTTGACTGGAATGGAACCCAGGACCTTTCAGTCTCCAGGCTGATGCTCTATCCACTGAGCAAAACTGGCTAGGGCTTTATTTCAATTTAAATATACCTGGGGACAAGCAGATTTTTTTCTTCATCTGATTTTACCTTTGGCTCTACTATCAGACACATGTATATGGGTGGGATGTGCACTGTTTCATAGACTGTTTTCTTCAGGTTGTTGATTTTTTTTTTCAGCCATAGGTTTCATCCAAGTGAAACTAAATCTGGATTGATTGTCTCCCACAGGTAATCCAGGGGACGACAACTTTGTTGCCTCAATGGGACAAATGTGTAAACTTTATCGAAAGTGCCCTCCCTTATGTTGTTGGAAAAATGTTTGTGGATGTGCACTTCCAGGAAGATAAGAAGGAGATGGTAAGTGCTGCTCCCCAACTCAAAGCCAATGGCAGCTAACCAGATCTGACATGGATATGGCCAACAGGCTGCTATCAGTTTCATATTGACTAAAAACTCAAACACAGAACGTAATCATGAAAATGAAGAAAATTTAGTACTGGGAAAAGTATGAAATCAAGCCACATAGAGTCAGAATTTCCCCTGGAGAAATTAAATGTGTGAAGTCTGTGCTTAGGAAAAAAAGGGCCTAGATAATTTTATGATTGGATATTTGAACTGTTGTAATTACAAAAGGTAGGGGTTTTTCCAGTCAGGACTCTCTGTTTTAGAGATGAGGAAGCCAGAGACCCAGAGATGGAGTGATTTGCAATATATTTAACAATTTTATTTAACAATTTTTAAGTGGCTTAAAAATAAGATGCAGGTTTTTTTCTTCTCTCCTTATACAGTTTTCTAAAAAATAAAGGGGCGTGACACTTATCTCACAGAAAACACGTTGTGTCTATTTTTTTCATAAACTTAAAAAGAAACCCTTTATTTTGGAAATTTCTAAACATATGAAAGTGGAAAGAACTGTGTAATGAATTTCTAGGTACCTATGGTCCCTGGCTATTTGTAATTGATGCACTGGCATTAATGGCCCAGCCAAATACATTTAATAAGAGGTGAGGTTAAGTTTCATTCAGTCAGTCAAAAAAGATTTATTGAACACCTGTTATATGCCGAATATAGACACTGTTCTAGGCCATGGGATACATAAGAAAACAAAGCAGACCTCACTGAGTTGACATCCAAATGGAAGTGGGGTAGACAGTAGAAAACACAATGTATAAATTAACAGGTGTGTTAGAAGATGACAATAACTCTGGAAAAATGAGAAAGGAGCTAGGGTAAAGAGGAATCAGGCATGCCAGAAAGTGTGGGTGTATGGATTGTGTTGTAGGATTAAATAGGATGGTCAAGAAAAACCTCACTGTGAAGATGACATTAGTCACAGATGTGGAGGAGGCGAGAAATTAGGTATGACAACTATCTGGGGGAACAGTGTTCTAGTCAGAAGGAACAGCAAAAGCCATAAGGCAGGGATGTGCCTGGCGAGATCTAGGAATAGCAGGGAGGTCCACAAGACTGGAGCGGGAGGAATGAAGGTGAGAGAAATAGACTCTGAGGTCAGAGCAGTAATAGGGATGGTGGCATTTTGTAAGGCCTGTAGGTCATTGTAAGAATGTTGGCTCTACCCTGAGTGAAGTGGAGATCGAAGGCAGGCTTTTAAGCAGAGGCCTGATGTCACCTGACTTACGTTGAGAGGATCACCCTGGCGGTTTTGTTCAGAAGAGACTATAGGGCAGTGATGGCGAACTGGTGACACGCGAACTCATTTTTTTGGTTGATTTTTCTTTGTTAAGTGGCATTTAAATATATAAAGTAAATATCAAAAATATAAGTCTTTGTTTTACTATGGTTGCAAAGATCAAAAAATTTCTATATGTGACACGGCACCAGAGTTCAGTTAGGGTTTTTCAAAATGCTGACACGCCCAGCTCAAAAGGTTCGCCATCACTGCTATAGGGCATCAAGGATAGAAGCAGGGAGGAGTTAGGAGACTGCTGGAGGCACTAGGCCAGAGATGAAAGTGGCTTGAACTAGGTGGTAGCAGTAGGAGTGTGAGAAGGGGGTGGATTCTGAATATATTCAGAAGTGTAGAGTTGATTGCTGACAGATCGGATGAGGGATCTGAGAGTAAGAGCTTTGAGTCTGATTAAGTGGAAGTATGGAGTTGTTAATTGATAAGGGGAATACTGTGGGAAAGCCAGGTTTGGAAGAGGAGATCAGGAGTTTAGTTTTGGCCCTGTCAAATTTGAGATTTATTAGACTTCCAAGTGAAGATGTCAAGGAGGCAGGAGGGTATATAAATTTTGAGTTTAGGACAGTATTTGAAGGTTGGTGGGGAGAGGAGAAGGTGTGAAATAGTTGTCTAGGGGAGTGGGAGAATGAGAAAACTGAGGAAATGCAGTATGGCTTCCTGGAGGCAGTAAAGGTCGAGGTGAGTTTGAAGTTCATACATTTAAAGAGATTCCTTACCTTGGCAGTGTGTTCTTGTTCATCTGTTTCAGCTGCATTGGAGGAAGCTGTGTATTGTTTTAATATGTTTTTTTTTTGTTTGTTTGTTTGTTTTTTACTGATTTCAGAGAGGATGGGAGAGGGAGAGAAAGATAGAAACATCAATGATGAGAGAGAATCACTGATTGGCTGCCTCCTGCATGCCCCATACTGGGGATTGAGCCCGCAACCTGGGCATGTGCTCTTGACTGGAATTTAACCTGGGACCCTTCAGTCCTCAAGCCGACGCTCTATCCACTGAACCAAACAGGCTAGGGCTGTGAAGAAATATTTATTACAAATGGCATGAAGCACAATATCTAGGCATGATTAACTAATGTAAGGGAGGAAAAAATGATTTTCCCCCTATCCTTTTAGGTTCTTGGCTAAGATCCCCCATAATCAAAGACCAGTTAATAGGAGAAAAATAAACAGAAGTTTAGTAACATGTACACCTCCTGTATACTAGTACATGGGAGAGACCCAGAAATATTAAGTCCCGGAAATAGGCCAAAGCACCACCTTAAATACCATCCCCAGCTAAAGACAAAAGATGTTGGAGTGGGAGGGGCAGTTATGGGAGGTGACCAGGAAAAGCACAGTAAAGGAAGGTAAGGTTGTTGTGCCTTCTCTAGCGATAAGGGTTTCTGGAGACTTAGTCATCCTTTTCTTCATGGTACACAGAGGCAGACACCCTTATAATGGAGGTTTTTGTTGCAAACGTTAATTTCTCTCACAAAAAGGTAACTTCTCTATTTTTAGAGCTTCTCTTGTGTCTGGGGCCTCTCAAAACTAATCAGCCCCAAATAATTACTCTGACAAAGAGGCATATTTTGGGGTGGTATATTTTGCTCCCCTTCACTAATAACAGTACATTATAGTCAACCATACACAAATATATGAGCAGCTTGGATGCAGGTTGAATTTAAAGGCAAACAGCAGCTTGAATTTAGAGGCAAAGAGAAAAGAAAGTCTGTTATGCTATTTCACATGGTTGGTATTATGGGCTGCTACATGGTAATACCAACTGGTTGGTATTATGTGTTGATATGTAATGCATAACTATGTATTATGTGTTGAAGTTCGTTTGGAATGCCATAAATCTAAATACGTTTACCTGGATTTTTGATGTCTTTTGATACTTTGGAGAATTAAGCCATGTTTGAGATTTTATATTTGAACCTACAAGTCCTCTTCTTGCAAATAATTCCACTGAAGAATTAATGTCTTATTTCAAAATACTCCATATTCCCATTGTGTGCTTTCTTTCACTCCTTGGTTGGAGTAAATGGGTTGAAATTTATCAGATAATCACAGTGGTGACATAACCTCTTGGAAGGATATAAAAACAATTAAGGGACAATGGTTTTTTTTTTATATAGTGGGACTTTTTTGGCAGTAGAAGAATTTTAAGTAATATGAAAGGTATGTGGATTAATTTGTTTTTCTCAGTTTTGGTGTGAAAGTTCCATTTTCATGTGTTAGAGTGTGACATTCTAAAACAAAGTAGATTTTGGCATTCCAACCCCCCCCCCCTTATTTTGATGTACATGGCCATGGAGGTAGTGTGATAGTTAACATAGATACTCATCTATTATGCATAAATTTATTTGCATCCCTTACGCCCGAAGCTGTTTGCCTCAGGGAAAACTTAAATTGGAAACTTACATGAGAAATATCTGGCTTTTTATACCCTGCTACAGGGCTCCCATCCAAGAACTACCTGGAAGTACTGATTTATTTACATGAAAAATATTTTTTATTATTAGCTACAGCCCAAAGGAAAACAGAAAGATCCCCAATGGGACAAATTCCAGAGACTCTAACTTAGAAGGAAGGCTGCCTTTGTTTTATTTACAAAAATCTGTTGTTAAGCAAATGAACACAGTCAGAAGGGTAAACTTCAGGTACTTCTCGAACTCTGATTTCTACAGGAATCACAGGAGGATCTCATTGCATTTAACAAGGATTTTTTTAACTTGGGTCTGGGGTAAGACCCAAGAATTTGCATCACAAACTCCCAAGTGATGCTGATGTTGCAATTCTAGGGATCATACTTGGAGTAGCAAGGCTTTCACATCATTCATTTGCAGTTAACCACGAAAAAACCCTGTCCTGGTGATTCATGTGAGCAGGGCAGGCTGTTGAGTTGGACAGCAGTACTTCATTTATGAAAGTCCATTGCATTAATACAAGGAACCTCTTCAGTTTTCAGATCATTGAAACTTTTCCCTGGTTCAAATTGGTTTAAATGGACTGTCCCAAATCCTGTGTGAGGGCCTCCAGGCCCCCACACCCCCAAATATCTAGTTTTCCTTGGAAAACTGGTACCTAGGTTTCTCCAAGGGACTTCCTGCTTCTCAGTATTTCTGTTTCTATAGCCTCTTAATGACAGGGTTGCTTCTGGTTGGCACCCTTTATCATAGAGTTTGGGAGAGAGCATTTCAACAAGTAATTAATGTAAAAGTTATTAGTGTTATAGTTTATATACTTCATTTCATACTAAGTCTTTGAAACCCCATATGTATTTTATACTTGTAGCACATCTCAGTTTGGATTAGCCACATTTCAATTGCCATGTATGGCTGTTATATTGGACATGTGGTTACCATATTGAACAGTGACCATCTAATGAATTGAAGAGGGATCTCGTGAGTTCAGTGTAGCAGAGCTCAGTCCCTGGGTGAGCAGGTGCTAGTAGCCAGGGCTGGGAAGGTGAGGTCCTTGGTTCCTGACCTGCCAGGTTTCATGGAGGACTCTAACATCAGCAGGGAAGGACTCAAACAATACCAGGATTCATGGTCTGGGAATAGGAGTGGGAGCCAAGCTGCTACTTGATGAGGATGTTTCAGGTTCTCTGGCATACCAGCTTAGAGGAGGAGAGGAATTCCAGACCCTACTCTGATGTAAGCATCTTG